CAATATACCTTTTGAACGAAAACACCCATGCTTGACAATATGTTTGGCTGAGCAGTATATAGAGAAAGTAATCTCCTATCTGCGTGCAGCGGTTTACCTCTTTTTGCAGGATATGATCATGTGACAGTGTACAGAAGATTCCCGTGGATTGCATTGCTTTGGCAGTAAAATAAATCATTGTACTTGTAGAAGGCACTGATTGTTTCCTGTTGTGCTGTACTATTCAATAACTGCCCTATCTCTGCAGTCTTTTTCAGAGCTCTTTGTGAAGTTCTTGGAGACAGAATCGCGTCCCACTCTTTCTGGACCCAAGCTCTCTATGCAAGACATGGTACATCCAGCACCTGGAAATACAGGCACAGCCAGTTCTGGTGAGCAGAGGCGTACCTAGGGTCTCTAGCGCCCTTCGCGAAAAGCTGCATCGGCACCCCCCCTACCCCCAGTCATGTTCCACATAGCATGACTCCTATATACGTGCTCCACCATGTAAAGGGAAGCTAAAGAAACAGACCTAGCATTATATTTTGTTTCCTAATCCTTCCTGTCCCATAAAAAATGAATGGATAAATAGGAATTGAGCTTCCTATTTTTTCTTAGGAACAGAGTACTGCCACTATTTGAAATCAGTGGAACTCCTGCAAACCCTCCCACCTGCTAGTGTACATATACAATAATGTCAATAATAGTCTATCAGCCTCAAATCATAAATATATATTTACACACACATATTTATACTTGCGTGATGATGGTGATGTGCCAGAGGAATGCTTGTCACCATACTGCAAGCATAGTACAGGCACATCACACCTTATCACAAGCATAACAGGTACATCACACCTGATGACCTCACAAGCACAACATAGGTAAAGAACACTTTATTGCAAGCACATTTGAAGCATGTATTATTAATAGATGAGACTGATTTATAACCCTGCACAGGGCAATATATAAGCCACAGTATGTACACAAGCTTATATGTTTTTCCCTGTGCAGGCATTTATATCATGGTAGTGTGTAAAACATAACCATGTGTATATACTGGGATCATATATTGGCTTTCACCAGCATGGAGATTGCACCCACCCCAGCACTTAGAGTGCACTCACAGAGCATGCCCTAGCTCCCAGGACCTACCCTAGCATGGAGACTGATCTCCCCTTTCATCCATGTCTCTGTTTTCCTCCCTTGGAAACCCCTGTCATCCTCCCTCCCTTCCATATCTCTCCCCACCATGTCTCCCTCCCTCCAATCTCTCCTCCACCATGTCTCCCTCCCTCCAATCTCTCCTCCACCATGTCTCCCTCCCTCCAGTCTCCCCCCCCCATGTCTCCCTCCCTTCCATATCTCTTCCCCGTGTCTCCCTCCCTTCCATGTCTCTTCCCCGTGTCTCACTCCCTTCCATATCTCTTCCTCCATGTCTCCCTCCCTTCCATATCTCTTCCTCCATGTCTCCCTCCCTTCCATATCCCTTCCTCCCTGTCTCCCTCCCTTCCATATCTCTTCCTCCATGTCTCCCTCCTTCCATATCTTCCTCCATGTCCCCCCTCCTTCCATATCATCTTCCTTCATGTCTCCCTCCTTCAAATCTCTTCCTCCATGTCACCCCCCCCTCCATGTCTCCTCCCTTCCCATATCTCTTCCTCCATGTCACCCTCCTCCATGTCCTCCTCCTTCCATATCTCTTCCTCCATGTCACCCTCCTCCATGTCTCCCTCCCTTCCATATCTCTTCCACGTGTCTCATTCCCTTCCATATCTCTCCCCCATGTCTGCGGCTCCCTTTCATGTCTCTTCCTCCATGTCTCGGCTCCTTCCATGTCTAGCTCCTTCTGTGTCTCTTCCCATGTCTAAGCTCCCTTCTGTGTCTCTTCCCCAAGTCTGAAAACTCCTTCTGTGTCTCTTCCCCCAAAGTCGGCTCCTTCAGGTGTCTCTTCCCCATGTCCTAAGCTCCTTCGTGTCTCTCTTCCCCAATGTCGCTCCCTTCTGTGTCTCTTCCCCCATGTCTCGCTCCCTTCTGTGTCTCTTCCCCCAAGTCTCGCTCCCTTCTGTGTCTCTTCCCCCAAGTCTCGCTCCCTTCCGTGTCTCTTCCCCCATGTCTCGCTCCCTTCCGTGTCTCTTCCCCCATGTCTCGCTCCCTTCCGTGTCTCTTCCCCCATGTCTCGCTCCCTTTCCGTGTCTCTTCCCCCATGTGTCTTCCCCATGTCTCGCTCCCTTCCGTGTCTCTTCCCCGTGTCCTGCTCCCTTCCGTGTCTCTTCCCCCGTGTCCCGCTCCCTTCTGTGTCTCTTCCCCCGTGTCTCCCAAGCCAGAATGTCAATGTGCTTGATATGCACCTTTTATTTTTCAAGAGGTTCTTAGTCAAAAAAAAATTACAAAAAATGCATATATGTATAAATTTATATAATCAATTAAATCAGAGTACAGTTAAATATAGTAAATTGCTATATATATATATATATATATATATATATATATATATATATATATATACACATACACTAAATGGTGCATAAAACACACAAAAATTGTTTGGTAGGATATCCAATCCATAAAGCATTTTTACAAGCACGTAGGTGAGGTGGTGGGACAAGATATATGGCCACTGGTGATGCTGTATGGGAAGAAAGTGTGGACATATCAACTAGCATGTATGCACGTGGGTGGATAGGAGGTCCGATCAGCCTCCTGCATGGACACAAATGAGGCAAGTGATTTTAATAGTACACCTCCTATGATACTTAGCCAATATTTTGGCTGTTAACGCATCAGATTTTTGAGTTCCTGACTTAAAAGCTTATCTTTTTGTTGCAATGCAGTGTTAAATGAGAGAATACACTTGTATTTCTTCTACTTGGAAGTTGTAATCTGATAACACATTTTAGTGTAACTCTATAGGCTCCTCAATTCAAAGATTAGCTTCAAACCTTTAACCCCTTAAGGACACATGACATGTGTGACATGTCATGATTCCCTTTTATTCCAGATGTTTGGTCCTTAAGGGGTTAAAGGAATCTCTGCCATGTGTTTTATTTTACTGCTTTGTACACCCTCCTTACAAAACACCCAATGGGTTAAAGTCTCAAAGTTTAATGTCTAAATATTTGCCATTTTGTAGGACTGAATGCTTTAAAACCAAGACATGTTTGTTTGTCCCATCTTTCAAACAAGTGCTTTGTATTTTGCAGGGACAGCCATGGCTGGGTCAAGCAGAAGAGCAGATTCCAACCCTTTCCTGGCCCCCCGTTCAGCTGCCGTACCCCTCATCTCAACCTCCTCCTTGGGCTCAAGCGCATCGGGACACCTACTCATGAAGCCAATATCTGATGCCCTACCCACTTTCACCCCTCTGCCTGTGTCATCAGAATCGAGTGCCGGAGCAGTGCTCAAAGATCTTTTAAAGCAATAGACTGATCAGAGCAAGGAGCTTGACCAATTTTAGCACTTTAAAAACAAAACACTATTGTATATAGAAGTACCCAAAGAGGCCTTTTGTACAATCAGATGATAGGTTTTATTTGGATTCATCTGCACTTGTTCTGCAACTGCAGCAACACTGCCCAACTCAAGAACTCTACAGATGTATTAAAGGCTAAGCCACGATTACAGTGCAGTAAATGCCAAGTGGAAACTGATGGTTTTAACCCATTATACCCAAGGAAGTATCTGCTACTACATGTGTATGTGTTCCCAAAAAAACATTTGCAGCTTCTGCAGGTGTTTACGTTCTAAGATGTACAGTTTTACATTCGGTTATTAGACCAGTGTTCATTTTTATTTTTTGTTGTGTGTAATTTATAGAAACCTGGCCCCGCAGTTTACAGGAAGTTCAAAGGCTGAAATCCTGTAGTTTATAGACACTGGTTTTCACACACAAACTGATCATTTAGGCCTGTGTTTTAAAATATGGGGCTAATGCATTTTTAAAAAAATGGATAAATCTAAAGGAACACCCTAGTTTCTATGGTGATTGTTCCACTGATTTACTCTTTATACATAGGCCCAATATTCTTTGCGTGCACACTTCAATCTTTTCGGCATAGATTTAGTTATTGCAAAAGCTTATCATCCTGTGAGCTGACCCCTGAATTCAGACAAAATGACTCTATAATCAAATATACCGGTTGTGTAATGTTGTAACTGGTGTTACATGATTGTTATAACCGTGGAAAAGAAGCCTGAGCACTTTAAACATAAGGTGTTGTTTTTTTCTCCCTTTTTCTAAAATGAAATGCTCCTACCTTTTGATTAGGCAGAATTTAATTTTCACACAAGTTTATGGATAGTTGGATAAGATTCGTTACGGTGATTTTAGGGGAGCACATTTTCCGTTACACTTTTTGCTTCCTGTTGTGTCAGTATTGGTACTTTTAAGAGCAAGTGCTACAGGAAAACTCTTCTCCAAGCAGCAGAATCTTGTATTGTTACAGTGTCGAAAAACATGTTAATTACATTATGCTCAAAGTGTTTGTCTTAATGTGTCCCTAAATGAAAAGCAAAAAATACCACTATCTTAAATTCTGTACATTTTATTGTTTAGTATATTGACATTTGCTATTTTGTTTTCTATTTTGTCATACCCGTATCCATCTTAATGCAGAGCAAATAAGGATTATCCGTTGGCTGTTTCGTTTAACACTTTTAGTGGCCAACAGGTGAAAATTTCAAAAAGCAGGCTCTTCTGGCATTGGAAGTATTGATAGATTATCGCCTCTTGTACATCAGTTATGTAATCTTTCATTGAAGATACTGTTGATATAACTGCAGATTTCTAGTGTGCATCATGTGTATATAAAATAAAACTAATTTAAGGGATACATGTGTTTCGCTGTATGTTTACAGATAAATCAGACATATGGCTATAATTCCATTTATAAAATGTATTGTTCTTCTAGTTCCAATATCCAGGATAGGCTATGTATGCCTTTGGGATCTACTGATATTTAATTGCAAAATACAGCCACATTTCTTTTCTCTCTGACTATACTGAGAAAATGCAAGTATAGGTGTGTGTTTATTAAACAGGTAATTTAAAGGAAACCATCCTTCCCGTCTTCCCTTTTTTATTCTTCCCTTTTTTTATTTTTCCCTGTCCCCAACCCTGAATGTGGATCTTAGCTATTCATGCAAAAGAAGGGAGATTTCTGTATATTGTGAGGCATGCAACCACAAGACTTTGGAGTAAAGCTTCTATGTTCCTGTATTTGAGCTTCTATGTGTACACCTAGTACTCTACATCACAAAGAATAAGAAGCTGGCAATGCATGCAACAAGCCCAGGCCCTCTGATGTATCAGATTGGGGCTTTTTATCTGGTGCTGAAGAGAAATTTTCTGTTCCTGAAAGTGACCAGGATCACAAAATAGATGAGAACCTTTCTTCTCCCTTAGAGTATCTGGGTCAAAGTGGGTGGATTAGTTTATTCATGCAGTCAGAAGATCTTGGAGTCCGCAAGAATCTCCAATAGAAGAAACCTCCTCCAGCCATCATTTTGCTGACCTACGCTTCCAAAAGTCTAGCTTGATAAACATCGTAATGAAGCTGTAGGGGAATTGATTACTTATGAATAGCATGAAAACATACTTGGTGATGAAAGAATGAAAATCTAAATTTTTATTCAATCTCAGTTTTCTTGTCTTTACACTTTCAGGTCATTTGACTCTTCTTAATGGGATTCTCCTCCAAAAGAATATGAGGAATTGTAAGACTTGACTAGGTGTACAGGTTGTCCAGTTGATGATGTGGGGTCCTTGGGAGATCCCATGGACAAGACAATTGACTGTAATAAAGTAATACATTGCAGCTGGAACAGGTCTTCACCCTGTCAGTAGGTCTGATCTCTATCACCAGTGCTGGGTTACAAAAGCTGGAAGATGACAGGGCCTCTAGATACAGTCTCTTGGAATCCTTAATGATATTAAGCTTGCTTTTTAATTTTTTTGCCAAAGCATCAGTGGATCTAGTTAGGTCCATCTCCCATTTCATGTCGCTATCAGTGAAAGACTGGAGGGCCCTGTGGCTGAGATCATAGAGAGCTGATGTGGCATCAAAGAACAGTCTCTGTGCAATAAATACATGGAGATATACTCTTTGGGAAGCACCTTGATGAAAGCATCAAGAAGGCAGAAAAGTATTTTTGCCACGAAAGACAACCCCGTAAGGGCCCAGCATTCAACAGACAATCTGCATCTTACAGAGAGACAAGGAAATATACAAGCAGAGAATTTTCTACAATGGAAATCAGGTCAGTCTTCCTCAAAGACTGATCCAACGGTACTACTTCCTTTCATGTACTAAGACAAGCACGGTGGACTTCTGATCCGTCTTCGGAGTATGAAGCAAGCTTCATTTTTTTGCAAAGGTTTGGGAGCAGTCTATTCAAGATGCCTGGGTTCTATTTATTGTGAGAAATAGCTACTTGGATATTTTGCCAACCCCTTTGTCTGCAGGTCCAATGGAGTGTGTATCACTGAAAACTTTAGCCTCCTCTCTGTTGAGTCAAATTATTTCAGAAGTTCAAATCTTCCTTACCCCAAAAAGACTTGGGAGGTTGCCATCTGATTTTGACAATCCATGACCCAAATGTATTCATAGACATAGGGAGATTTGAGATTAAATCGGTCTCTTAAACATCAAAGTGGTGGCTCCATTGGATGTGATGATCTCTCTAGATCTCCAAGATGCTTATTTTCATGTTCCTATCAGCCTATGTTATCACAAGGTTGTACCATTGAAGATCAGCAGTTTTCAAGTCTTTCCTTTTCTGGTTAAAGAGTTATCCACTGAGTAAAAAGCTTTACTGGGCATTTGCTAGTCTGAGTGTTGCTAAAAGGCTAGGTTTCCTATAATGACAGAGAAGGCAAACCTCTGTGGAACACACAGAGGCACAGGTTGCTCTTTTTTTTTTTTTTTTTAAGAACAGAAAATGAATGTTTTGTTTTTTTTTGTTAAATCTTTATTTGCTTTTAAGAAAGTTAACATAAAAATAAAGATACATGAGAGCTGGCAGGCCTCCCTATAACCAGCAAAACCTTTTGTTACGTAACAAAAATCACTAATCACTTTTTGTTCCTAGAGCTCATCGAGAGTAAACATACAGAACGTATGTGCCCTTTGCTTTTCCTTATATCTTAAAAGGTCATAACATTATATTGTGATTTGTGAATCAGTGTTTTTGTTTTCAGTGAATTACAAGAGAGAGCACGCAGGCCTCTCCAATGCGAGCATTAATAGCAGAACAAGTAACTCTTTTTGAGCTCTCATTATGTAGTTTCCGCAAAAATTGTACAACAGACTCATAACCCCACCGTTAGTAATTAGTAATGTGGCGTTTATTAATTGTGACTTATCCCGATCTATCCCAGGATTAATATGGGTATTTCTTAGACCGGAGTAGCCCCTAGTGGATATGATTGCAAACCATACGTTTCAGTTCTTAAAGGTAAGCCTGCCAAGCAAGACCGTAGAAATAGTGAAGAATAGGGAAAATTTATTCATACTTACCGTAATTTTCTTTTCCTGGCTATTATTCATGGCAGCATTTAACATATGGGTTTAGCTCCTCCCTCTAACCCTCCGGACAGGAAACACAATCAATTAAACAATTAAGCATACCTTCCCCTTGTATAATAGGAACCCCATCAGCCATCACACCTCAGTCAAGTAACAAGAAGCATATCCAATAGAGGGTGGGAAACCAAATGCTGCCATGAATAATAGCCAGGAAAAGAAAATTACGGTAAGTATGAATAAATTTTCCCTATTCCTGGCTAATCATGGCAGCATTTAACATATGGGATTCCCCAAGCAATAACAACACAGGGAGGGAAATGCATGCTACAAAAATAGTTTAATATAGAGATCTATGAGGATTAAAGGAGTTCAGGACCGACAGGCCAAACTCCGAATCCGAGCGGGAAGCAATATCCACTTTGTAGTGATTTACAAAGGTCTTTAGAGAAGACCAATTGGCAGCCTTACAGATGCTCTCTGCAGGAACTCCTGACTCTGCAGCCCATGAAGTAGCGATAGATCTTGTGGAATGAGCCCTGATGTTTTTCGGAACAGGAACACCACACGCTCCATAAGCCCTGGAGATAGCCGAAACCGTCCAGGAACGAAGAGTGGAGACTGAGGCGGCTTCACCTTTGCGAGAACCCCAAGGTATAATGAATAATTGAGAGGATTTCCTCCAAGCAGCAGAGCGTTCTATATACATCAGTAAACATCTACGAAGATCCAGCATATGACACCTTGATTCCTCAGGGGTAGAAGGATGCTGAAAATAGGCAGGCAAGATAATTTCCTGATTGAGATGGAAAGATGTAACAACCTTGGGAAGAAATTCAGGCCTCGGTCGGAGAACGACCCTATCATCAAAGAATGAAGTGTAAGGTTCCTCGGCTGATAAAGCTCTGATGTCAGACATTCTTCTGGCAGAGACTAGAGCCAGTAATAATAGAGTCTTCTGAGAAAGGATCTGCAAATGTATGCTCCCAATAGGTTCGAAGGGAGACTCCGTTAGGGCCTGCAGTACCAGAGGCAAATTCCAAGGAGACGCCAGTTGTCTGATAGGAGGTCTAATCCGTACAATGGCCTTGAAAAAACGAACCACCATAGGATGAAGTGCCCATCGAATGCCAGAGAGAGCCGAGATAGCTGAATAGTGAACTTTCAGGGTGTTAAGACTAAGACCCTTCTCCAGGCCCACTTGTAGAAAACCTAAAACTTGAGAGACTGTAGGAGTACCCATGTTCTGTATAGAAGAATTTAACCAGACCGCAAAGGCTTCCCATATTCTGTGGTAAGTAGATGAAGTGGAGATCTTCCTGGAACATAAAAGGGTAGCCACCACCTGTTCCGATAAGCCCTGTTTCTTCAGGGATTGCCTTTCAGAAGCCAAGCATGAAGCCTGAGCTTGTAAGGTTCTGGATGAACCACCGGGCCTTGTGTCAGCAGATTCTCCGAGACTGGAATCTCCCAAGGATCCTCCAATGCCAACCTCCTCAGAAGAGGAAACCAAGGACGTCTTGGCCAGAAGGGGATCACTGCAATCACCCTGCAACGTTCCCTGGAAATCTTCCTCAGAACAGCTTGAATGAGAGGAACTGGGGGAAAGACATATACCAGATGAAAGTGCCATTTGATTGATAGAGCATCTTGATCCAGCGCCCTCGGATGGAATCTCCTTGAAACAAAACAAGGAACTTGAGTGTTCTGAGCTGTAGCCATGAGATCCACTTGGGGAAGACCCCACCTCTGGACCAATTGCTGAAACACCGTCCTTGACAGGTGCCATTCCGTGGCTTCTACCAGGTGTCTGCTGAGGAAGTCCGCCAAGACATTCTCCTTTCCTGGAAGATAGACCGCACGTAGACCTTCCACATGTATCTGTGCCCAGGTCATGATTGCTGATACTTCTTTCATCAGTGAAACACTCCTGGTGCCTCCTTGATGGTTGATATAGGCGGCAGCCGCTCTGTTGTCCACTCTCAACTTCACCCAGGCTCTTTTGATCAGATGCCGAAAATGAAGAAGAGCCAGAAACGTTGCTCTCAATTCCCTTATATTTGAAGGCAGGTGCTGAGCATTCTGAGTCCATTCTGCCTGGACAAAGGAATTTCCCAGATGAGCACCCCAACCGAACTGACTGGCATCTGTCGTGATGACTACCCAGTCGACTTCCTTCAAAGGAAAACCTCTGGAGATGTTTTCTTCTTTCATCCACCAATGAAGCTTCCTTTTCAGGCTGAGAGGAATGTGGATCTGCTTCTCCCAGTCGTCTGAGCTGGATTTGAAGTTTTTCAGGAGATGCTGTTGAAGAGGACGAAGATTCCAATGCGCCCATCTGACCAGGTCTATAGTAGAGGTCAGGGTACCCAGGAGTTTCATAAACTCCCTTGCGGAAGCAGAAGCCTTCTGAAGAAAAACCTGCATACTATCCTGCAGCTTCAATTTTCTTTCTTGGGCGAGAGATACCATCGCATTGAGGGTATTGAAGCATGCTCCTAAGAACACCAGCTCCCT